TTTGTCATTAAAAAAGCTCATAAAATCATTACTGCTAAGGGCTAAAGGAATACAAGGCTCAATAGAGCTTTGACTCTCAGTCAGCCTGGCTACAGTGCTGAAAAGAAACCTGGGGTTGTTCTTGTTTTCTTCTATTAATGCTGAGTAATAGTTTGCTCTGGCATTGCGGAGGCCCCTCTTATAAGTTTTGAGACTGTCTGTCCAGATTAAACGAGATTCTTCCAGTTTGGTTAATCGCCAATTCCTTTCAAACTTTCGCGATATATGTTTTAATTTACGGGTTTGAGAGTTATACCAAGGAGCGAACTTTCTTTGCTTTGTTAACTTCTTTTTAAGAGGAGCTACAGAGTTGAGTGTTGTTCGCAGCGAATAAATAAAACCGTTCTTCAGCTTTATCAAAAGTCTGTAAAATACAATTTTTTTTCATCACAACACGAGAACATGACAAATACTGATAACAACAAATCAAACACACAGATACTCAGTGTATCAGGAACTGGGTTTCCATCCAAATGTATCGCAGATTTTAAGCGAATTTATTTAAAACGTTTTTAAATTTATAAACGTTATGTTACCTTCTGAATTATCTTCTGGCATGTCCAAGTTCTCAAGCTCATGTCCCTCCATGCTCGATTCTCCATTAACGTTACCTAATGAAATGAAAGTAATGTACATTATTAGCTACACGTTACCATTGAAGTCAGGAGATTTAAAACTAGCTAGCTACCAGTCAGATGTAGCTAATATTTCACACAATATACTAACGTTACCTTACCTTAGCTGTTTATCGACGGGCTGATAGCCGTAACCAGCGGTCTTTGTCCAAGAATATCGTCCATTTGATGAAAATATCTGAAGTTGGTTTTAGCTTTCCCTCCCGCTCGGCTGGTAGACATACGATGCCTCTTACTCATGTAGCTTTGTTTTAAACTCTTCCAGTTGCTTCGAAGTATTTGCCATGGTTTGTCAAAGCCTTTATTCATCCTTTGTTTCTGTGGGTCCTGATACATGGTTGCGTTCCTTTGCTGTTTTCCATCTAGTATGGCATTAATGTTCGCTTCTTTTATTAATTAAAAGAAACATTCAGTTTCGTTGTCGCTCCAGACATATCTCACGCTCCCTTCCTCTGCCGCCATTTTTTGACTGTGGACTCGTGGAGCGGAAGTGAAGTAGAAGTAGGATCTGGTAGCCTACGTCATCGTTTATTTGCTAAATCTGTTTCCATTGCTAAAAGTCGCATTTTCCTAATATCCATACACTGACTTTATCACCTCCTCCAAGCATAAAAACTTTTTTTGCGATATTTCGGCTTTTTTTCAAATTTCAGGTGTTTCCATTCAAGTTTTTTTTCGCAATTGTTGAAAATGCAAATAAAAATAGGTGGATGGAAACCCAACTAGTGTTCGTAGTCACATTCTCAGTCATGTGATTGGCTGCTTCAGTACACAAACAAACAAACACACTGTGACCACAGACTAAAAAACTAACATTAAATTCTTCGTCCCTCCAATACTGAGCAAATAAAACCCAAACTGTCTGTGTGTGGAGACCACTGCTGGTGGGAGGGTGGTTTCATAATGTAGGAGGAGGAAACCCCCCCCAACTCATCATCTGTGTGTGTGTGTGTGTGTGTGTGTGTGTGTATGCGCGTGTGTGTGTTGTGCTAAAACAAACATGGAGATGTCCTCCGCTGATGTCAGAGACAGATGATGTCAGACAAACGTCCACAACAGTCGTAAACACTCCAACTTTTTTTTATTTTTATCAGAATGAAATACCGGCAGCTCCGCCCACAATGTACAGCGTGTGTGTGTGTGTGTGTGTGTGTGTGTGTGTGTGTGTGTGTGTGTGTGTGAGGAGTCAGCAGCTGTGTGTGGTGAGTTGTACAGTTTGCTGTGTTACATTGAGAAACCTGAGAAATTTCCATCTCAGAGGAAACTTTAAAAAGAGAGCGAAGGTTCCCTCTGAGCTGTCAGGACACCGACCACATGAAGCTGCACTTGCCACCGTCACCACGTCTGTCTGACAGTCACACTGCCGGGGTCACCACGCTCACCTGGACACTGTGAGTACTCTCTCCTGCTGTGTGTGTGTGTGTGTGTGTGTGTGTACAGTTTTTTTATCAAATGAATATTGATAGTGAATATCTGTAACAGTTTTATTGTGATCAGTGTTTTTAAATGTGTAATGTCGATACCTTTAAAATAAATCGATATCTGACACCAGGAGGAAAAACTAAAAAAAAACTAAATAAAAAAAATCTAAATTATTATTTAATATAAATATAAAGACGACAGTGTCAGAGATCAGATGCTGTATCCATTCTGAGGAAAATGATTATTAAAACATTTCAAATATTCAGAATAAATAAGTAATCAATCATATTAAATCAACATTTCTGACAGCACAAGTATTGATTCATTGTTGATGTTTACTCCTTCTGTTGTTGGCCTCAGCACTTTGTTAGTTTTATCTTTAAAAAACAAATCTTAAATTATATAGAGCTCAAAGTCAGTTATCTCTTCCTGATGTAAATTAACTATCAATATTTTCCAAGATATTTCATCAAAATTAAAAATGATTTAAAGTCGAAATATAACGAAACTATTTTGTATATTTTTAAACACTTTTAACATTATTTTTTACTATTTCTACTTTTTAATACAACTGATTATATTTTCTACTTAAAACATAGTTCATGATTTTTTTTTTTATGAGACCATTTATGGTGAAGCTCTGCCACCATAAATCAGAACACAGATCAAAAATGAACTCTTCTAATCTTTAAAATTATCCATTAATTCTGTTAAAGGTTTGTATTTTAATCATAAATTAAAAACATATATAAATAAAAACGTGTGTGTTTTCCCATCATCACTGTGAGTGATCAGATTTGCTGACCTTTAATATCAGTGGCCTTAAAGTGACTCATGGTAAAGCCCTGTGGTTATATTTGTCCGCTGAGCATGGGGGCGGGCTGAACGGGAGTGTTTCGGTGACGCCTCATGTGATGTCACAAGTTTTACAATCTACAGAAGAGTTTAAATTAAAGCCAGCCGTCATTTAAACTCTGAGCTGGTGGAGGAAACATCAGATGTCGGTTCGCCTCCTGTTTAATTATTGTGTCGTCCTCACTGTGAGTGAATTTACTGCCGTTTGTTCTTCTTTTAAACTTTGAATATTAAACCTGAAACTTGAAACCACCTGAACACCTGCAGCTGTCTGTGTCTGCTCATTGGTTCGACACCGTTATGTCAGCTGATGGTTGATCTCTCTCTGTGTCCCTGCAGACGTCGTCATGGTGCATTTGGCATTTATGTTTGTGGTCATCGTCCAACACGTTTATGGAAATCCTCCTCTGATTCCTCTGTCAGTCAAAGGTGAGCATGCTCTGCATGATGTCAGTGCACATTATAAAAACATCACTGAGTTAAACTTCGATAGTTTCAGACTCTCCTGTATTTAAAGAGCGAACAGATTTTGGCTGGACAGGTAAACGACGTGTTTCTGTAACCTTAATAATAAAGTTTTTATTTGAATGATTTCGTCTCTAGACGGCTGCTTGCTGGTGTCTACAGAGCTGAACATTTCGAGAGTGGAGGGCGAGGCCATAATCCTCTTCTTCCCCATGTTTGAGACCGTGCTCCGAGAACACAACATTGCCCTCCCAACAGCGAAGTACCTCATCACCAAGGACAACGGGCCAGAGGGCGTGGCCTATCACAGCGAGGGGCGCGTTCAGCAGCATAACAAACAACTGTGGTTCCTCCCAGCTCAGGCTTCAGACTCAGGGGAATATGTCTGTTCTTACAGGTAACATTAAAACTCACCTGTTCTTACAGCCAACACAGAAATTGTGTTTTTTTATTCCAAGTGCAGCGCTGATAAATCTAGGACGACATTATTTCCTTTAAAGGCACAAACACACTGACAGGAATAACTAACACGCCTTATTTGGAGCTCAGCTGGAGCTCTGATGACGTACTGTGGGTGTCACCATAGGACTGGCGGTCGGTCGCTGAAATATGTGGGCGGGGTCAAGATCGTATTATTTACAGACACCATCTTTATTTTTTGTACTTTTCCATCAGAGCAGCCGATAAGGTGACATCAGGCAGGAGGGAGAGAAACACTGAGAAGCAGCGGTCACTTCATCTTGTATTTAAAGTCACATACAGTATAGCTCATCAAAACTCCGCAGATGTCAGACATCCTCCTTGATAGACAACAGGTGGTCGGTCTGTTTATGTTCATTAGTTTCAGTATCTGATGTGACGAAATGTGATGAAATATGATGGATCTGTAGCAGCTGCTGGCAGCGGGAGTTGTTTTCGTTCAGCACTGCAGAATTACAACCAAACTGTTCATAAAGGTTTAGGCTAAGCTAACAGCGCTAACCTCAGCTCATCCACCGCGGTGTCTCTCCATCTCTTTGCTCACTTCAATGCTCTAAAATCAAATCAAAGTCAGAGTAGCAACGTCCAAACAGTCTGACTCACCTCAGAGTGTTTTCAGTTCGTGTTTAAAACAACCGACGTACTTCAACATGTGTGCGTCAGTGCACTGGGCCTTCAGCTTTTTCTCCAAAAAATCCACCACACCATGTGACAGCTGAATAAATAAATATTCTGATGATATATATATTCAAAGGTAGATTTTTTTTCAGTAAATTAAGTATTTCACATTTTTCTATACGTCTTCTTCTGACTGCTTGTTGTTGTGGTGACGATCACATGGTGGGAAATGTTAATCTGAATTCATTTGATGATCAGATTTATATCACATCTTTTCTAAGTCGTCCCTCTGTTGCCGCGGAGGTTAATGTACAGACAGCAGATTTCTCAGCACCATCATCAGGATTCAAACTTTCTGGTTGAAGAATGATTTTTTTTAGGTGCTACACCTTCTTGTTTCCTGCGACTGAAGAATTTTGTCCCCATTTTGTCTCCAGAAATGAAACCTACTGTGTAACTGGGAGTATCAGGCTGCAGGTGTACGAGTCAAACGCCGTTGACATGGAGAAAGTGTCGTATCCAGTCCGAGCCGTGGTCGGAGAGAATCTGAGACTCTCATGTCCGTCTCTGAGTCACTTCAACAAGACGGGAAGATGGATCGAGTGGCACAAGGTCAGAGAGCGTAACGACATCCTCAGCCCAACAGTGTTTAAAGTAAAATCTATTTATCATTGTCAGATACTGTGATGTCAGCAGGTACGAGCTCTACAGGGCAGACTGGTTATATATCATTTCACTTCCTGCCGGTGGAGGTCTGTTGTCAGACCTCACACTGTAACACACTAATCATCCTCCCGTTTTATGAATACCTCAGACTTTAAACTCACACAGCACCAGATCTGTGACTCTTTGGACCTCAGATGGCCTCGGATAGAGTCGAAAGCTCTCAGTGTTTCCTGTAAGTGATGCAGTGTGTTGTTTCCTGACAGGACTCCAGTCCCACCTCGCCTCGGCCAGGCAGAGCGAGCTCCTTCAGCCAGAACAGAGGTAAACTCATAATCCCCACTGTGAGGCGGTCCCATGCAGGTGTCTACACCTGTCAGCTCAGAGCGCTAATCAACGACCAGACTTACAAAGTCAGCAGAACCATCGTGCTCCATGTGGAAGGTGGGTGACGTCATGACACGCATCACTCTTTGATTTATGAGTGTAGAGTAAAGGACAACTGGAACCATAACTATAACCATGACCATACCAACGTCCTGTGAACACTGACAGCCGAGCGCACAGTTTATGCTTCCTGTTGTTTATCACACCGCTCTGAACACTATCCTAACAATGTCGTTTTCCACAGCGCTCATCGTTACTGTTGTCGTGTGGACGATTTTTTAAACAGTATATTTATAATGATCATTCTTGGTGTGGACGGCCCTTATCTATATCTATATCTCCATCTGTATCACCTGTAAGGTGTTAACTTGTTTTCTGGATGAATGTAAATATCTTTTCATATTTCTTTATTGTTTCACAGGTTCATGATAAAAATACATTTTTTATATAAAAAAAGAAAAAAATCACAAATTTAGACAAAACAACTATCATACGTAAATTGTAGTTACAGGATCGTAGTGATAATCAGAAAATATTAGTCAATAAGAGACATCATTAGTTGGCCTTTGTCGCCCTCTGCTGGTGGGACAGATGTAACACACAAACCAGACGACTGTCTCACACAAAACACTGTGGGCTGCCATCAATCAGTACCATCATAGTCTTATTGTTGTTTCTGTAGTTGTTGTTATTATAAATAAGTTTTTTTTTGTTTGTTTTAACATAAATAAAGATTGGGAGCCTGAAATCACTGAACCTGACCTGTCGTCGACCTCTGACCCCGGACCGATCAGCAGCAGCACTGCCAACAGTGAGTTTATTTATTTATTTATTTATTTATTTTTATATGTCAGGATGATAAAACTGAAGTTAGAACTTTAACGTGTCTTCTTGTGTCTTAGCGCCAATGATTCGACCTCCTGTGATTGTGTCCCCGCTGAATGGCTCCATCTTTGAGACTTCACATGGTGAGTGATAGAAAGGTTCGTTAAACACGCGTTAAGGAACAGACAGGATGTTTATATTAACTCTATATTAACTCTTCTAAAGGTTCAGCACTGGAGCTGTCGTGTACAGCGCTCACTGAGTGTCAAACAGCTGACTCCACTGTGGTCACATGGCTGGTCAACTACCAATCAGTGGAGTCATCATACCTCGATGGGCGTGCTCTGCAGGGAGGAAGGAGGTAACTGCTGATACGCTCTGTCGTTATAAAGACAGGAGGTCACAAAAAGTGACTTAACAACTTCATTTAACCTTAAACTCAACACATACAAAGCTTCACGTCGCCACGAACAAAAAAAACAAAGCTACGAGTAGGAATTAACTTCGTACTCTGGGATCCTGACGTGGCAGAAAAAGGTTAATCCTCAACTTAAGATGAATTTTAGTACAATCACATTTTACAATTTAAAAAAACAACAACTTTTTAAATACATACTGAACAGGGCTCATCCTGGGTATCACCCTGGTTATCAATTAAGCAATCAATCAATCAATCAATTTTATTTATAAAGCCCAATAAGACAAATCACAATTTGCCTCACAGGGCTTTACAGCATACGACATCCCTCTGTCCTTATGACCCTCACAGCTGATCAGGAAAAATTCCCCAAAAAACCCTTTAACGGGGAAAAAAACGGTAGAAACCTCAGGAAGAGCAACTGAGGAGGGATCCCTCTTCCAGGACGGACAGACGTGCAATAGATGTCGTACAGAACAGATCAGCATAATAAATTAACAGTAATCCGTATGACACAATGAGACAGAGAGAGAGA